CCCCCAAAAAAATACTCTCACATAAAGCAAAGAATGATATTACATAATGATAAAAAGTGATCAATTTATTAGAAATCAATAGCAGGTACAAATATGTACATAACTGGTATCAGGGTTCCCAAATATATGAAATAAGCATGATCAAAATAAAGCATGATCAAAATAAAGCAAAAAATACACAACATAGTCACTTTGAAATAACTGAATGCAACACTTTTAGTAATGAATAGAGATGCCAGATGACCTATCAATAATGAAACAGAGGACCTGTATAACACTAGAGACAATTTAGACTGAAAAGTCTCTTACAGAACACTTCAATCAACACCAGTATAACTTTACACTCAACAGCAAATGACACACTCTCCAAGATACAAAACATATGAGGACACAAAACAAGTTTCAGCACATCAAAGACCAAAATTAGCTGGGTACAGTGGCTCACGCCTGTAATTTCAACACTTTGAAAGTCAGAGGTGCGAGAAGTGTCTGAGCCCATGGGTTTGGACTACCCTGGGTAACATGGTGAGACTTCATTTCTACAATAAAAAAAAATTAGCTATGCATGGTGTTGCACACTTGTAGTTCCAGCTACTTGTAAGGCTGAGGTGAAACGATCACCTGAACCCAGCAGGTCGGGGCTTTGGTGGCCGCGAACATGTCACAGCACTTCAGACAGAGTGACAGAGTAAGACTCTGATTAAAAAAAAAAATGAAAAAGAAAATGACGGAAGTTATACAATGTATTTATTTCTGACCATAAGAAAATGAAAATAAAATTTCAAAGCCAAAAAACACCAAACAAATAAAAAAAAAACACGCAAGTTAAGCAACATATTCTTATGTTCTTGTTCAAGAGTCAGGAGATTTAGGTTGGTAGGTTGGGTGTAGTGGCTCATGCCTGTAATCCCAGCACCTTGAGAGGTTGAGTTAAGTGAATCACTTGAGCCCAGGAGTTTGAGACCATCCCAGGCAACACAGCAAGACCTCAATCCACAAAAAATAACAAATAAATAAATTAGCCAGATGTGATGGCAATCGCCTGTCATCCCAGCTACTCAGTAGGTTGAAGGGGATGAGTAGTCTGGCAAGACATGGTGAGACTGCTACTCAAAAAAAGTCAGAAGATTAATATCATTAAGATGTCAACTCTACCCACAGTGATATATAAATTTAATGTAATTCCTATGAAAATTTCAGTGATATTTTTCTTTGAAAAGATATTTTTAAATCCTAAATTTATATAGAATCTCAAGAGATTATAAATACCCAAAACAGCATTGGCAAAAAAGGATAAGATATAAGTATCATACTTCCTGATTTTAAAACATATGACTAAGTTATAAGAATGTGGTACTGCACTCAGAAAGACAATGGAACAAAATAGAAAACCTCAACATAAATCCTTATGAATACAATTAAATGATCTTTAACAAGGGTGGCATGGCCACACAATGGGAAAGCAAAGCTTCTTCAACAAATGGTGTTGGAAAACTGGCTATCCACAAAAGACTGTTGAATCATATACAAAACACTATCCCAAATGATTAAATGCTTAAATGTAAAAACTATAATTATAGTTATTAGAACCAAATAAAGGATGGATGTTAAGACACTGGCCATGACAATGCTTTGTTACATGACACTAAAAGCATAAGCAACAATTAAAAATACGAGACCAGCTACTCAAAGTTAAAAAAAAAAACAACTTCATGATAGAAAACATTCAGTGAAATAAAAACATCTACTAAGGAACAAGAGGACATATTTCTAATTTACACATTTAATAGGAGGTGAAATTCAAAATATATAAATAATTCCTAAAACTCAACCACAAAAATTGAATAACATTACTAAAACATGGACACAGAAATGAACAGACATTTCTCCAAAGAAGATCTACAAATGGCCAATGTGCATTTCAAAAGATTTTCAAAAAGACAAATGCTCAGAGAAATGCAAAGCAGAAGCACAGTAATATACAACCTCAAACCCATAAGGATGGTCACTATCAAACAAACAAAATAACAAATGTTATTGAGGGTATGGGGAACCTGGATGCTTGTGCACTCTTGCTGAGGGAAAAAATGATGCAGCCACTATGAAAACACAAAAATGCTTCAAGAAATTAAAAATAAAATTATCCTATGACCAGCAATCCCACTTCTGGTTGTCTAGCCAAAGATACAAGGAAGAACCTGAAAAAGACGTGTACATCCATGTTTCTGCCAATATTATTTACAAAAGTCAGAAGGAGGAAGCAGCCTAAATGTCCTTCAATGAATGAGTGGATAGAGTGTATGTGGCATCCTGGAAAAAAAATCTTGTCACGTGTTATGGTAAGGATAAATCTTGTGGACATTATGTTAACGTAAATAAGACAGTATCACCTAGAGGTGGTTGCCCACACCAGTAATCCCAGCACTGGGAGGCTGACACTGGAGGCTCACCTGAGCCCAGCAGTTCAAAGCCTGCCTAGGCAATACAGTATACAAAAACTCTGTGTATCGATAAAGAAAAAAATAGTCGGTCATGGTGGCACAAGTCTATAATCCCAGTACTCAGGAGGCCGAGCTGGAATAATCACCTGAGCCAAGGAGCTTGAGGTTGTAGTGAGCCTTACTTGAGCTACCACACTCCCACCTGGGTGACAGAAAGAGACCACAACTCTTAACACAAAACAAAATCTTAACAAAAGGATTTGGAAAGCGTCCTTGATATTGACACTGGTCTTGGTAATGTTTTTTTTTCTTAATGACTACAGGAACAAAAGCAAATGGACTGCATCACACTAAAAAGCTTCTGCAAGTAAATAGGAAGAAGGCTTACAGGACAAGAGAAAATATTTGCGACCATATATCTGATGAGGTGTTAAAATCCAACATATACAAGGAAATTATACAAATAAAGTCAAAAAGAAAATGATAATCACTTGACTAAACCATACCCCATACCCCAAGAAGAGTTAGTTTTCCAATAAGGTCATACAAATTGCCAACAAGTATATGAAATGGCGCTCAACATCACCAATAGAGGCAATTTCAAATAAACACAATGATGAGATATTATCTCACACCTGTTAAGATGGCTAATATCAATCAGAAGAGAGATACTGTTGATAAGAATGTGAAGAAAAAGAAATCCTGTATATTGTTGGTGAATTTAAAATTGGTAGAATCATTATAAGAACCATTATCAACATTTTCTTTTTTTTTTTTTGGAGTTGGAGTCTCACTCTGTCACCCAGACTGGAGTGCAGTGGCACACTCCCAGCCATTGCAGCCTCAACCCGCTGGGCTCTGGCGATTCTTCTGTCTCAACCTTCCAAGTAGCTGGAACTACAGGTGTGCACTACCACGCCCAACTAATTTTTGATTTATTGTAGAGAGGAGATCTTGCCAAGTTGCCCAGGTGGGTCTCAAACCTGCAGGCTCAGGCAATCCACTGACCTCGGCCTCCCAAACTACTGGAATTATAGGCTGAGCCACAGAGCCCGGCCATCAAAATTCTTTTAAAAATAAAAATAAACTACCACGTAAAACAGGAATCTCTTTTCTGGGTATAACCAAAAGAAATAAATACAGTATATCAAAGAAGCATCTGAACCCCTATGTTCATTGCAGCATTTGCCAAAATGGCCAAGCTTCAAAACAACCTAAGTATTTGTGGATTCTGTGTTGATTAACAAAATATTGCATGCATACACAATAGCATATTATTCATCCACAAAAGAAATTAAAGAATCTGGCAATTTCAACCATATGGATGAAACTGTAGGATACTATGCAATAGTGTCAGGCACACACACAAAAATATTGTGTGATCTCAATCATGTGTGGAATCAAAAAAGATTGCACTCCCAAAGAAAGAAAGTACACTGGTGGTCACCAGGATCTGCAGGTGGAAAAATGAGAGATGTTTTCAGTGGTTCCCAAATTTCAATTAGAACTGAGTTCTAGGGTACTAATGTATAACATAGTGGCTTATCATTAATAACAATGTCTTGTATGCTTAAAAAATTAGCTAAAATAGTAGACTCTATGTGTTCTTATTACAAAAAATAAAAATGGCAACTACATAAGGTGATTGATATGTTCATTAACTTAACTGTAGTCATCATTTCACACTGTATGGGCATATCAAATTATTACATTATAAACAACATGTTTATACATTTATTTATGTATAAAAAATCAGATGTTAGACATGCATAAACACATGTATGTACGTGTGTGTGTACATGTGCATATGTAACCTAGTCCTAAGATTCATACTAAACAAAATTATAAAATAAGAGTTATAGAAACAAGGAAACACGTGAGAGTTTAATATATGTTTACCATGCTCTATACGATATAGTATACTTAAGAAATTTAGACATACAGAGTTTAAATTACCAATCTCAGTTCATACTGAAAAAGAAAAGTTAAAGTAAAATAACATCAGTGTTTCTACTGTCTAGAGAAATAATTTTTGTTCTGGTAGAATTATGGAGTATGAATTTCTATAAAATTACATTTGAAACCTCCCTAAAATAGAAAATCATAAAGCAGAAAACATGTAACATCTGTCTGGAGAGTTCTTAAAATTTCTGAATCAAATAACAAAAACACCACTATTCTCACACGTTTCCAAGATGATGCAAAAAGAAAATTTTAAAAATAGTTTAACATGGATTTCCTAAAAAAAACAAAAAAAAAAACAAAAAAAAACAAAAAGCAGATATGTGCACATCCCCAAAAGCATCAGAAAAGCAGTAAGATCATGCAGTCCCTAACAAACCATTAAGAGGACTTTGATTTTTACTGTAACCCTGAAAGGAGATCATTGAAGAAGAAGCAGAGTTTTTGGAGAATTACAGAACATGGAATAATGGCTGTCCCTTTATGATAGCAAGAGAAAAAATCCCCAGGCTTCTTAGAAACCATTTTCATTGGAGCAGACCACTTCCCAAATCACATCTCAAACTCTGCTTCCTAGACCGGTGTCATCTGTTTCATTCACTCCCACCTACCTGGAGGTTTGGCCAACGTGCTGTGTCTCTTCACATCCCAGGGCTCTTTCCTTTGCTCCAAACACCTGATCAGGTCTGGCTTAGAGACAGTAAGACCTGTTTAATTAGAAAAAAGTAACATGATTCTTGCTGGGGTTCTTCAATTACAAACCTAGTACTGTACTCACTAGAGTACACATTATACAAGATTCTAGAAGATTAATCCCAAAATACTATTTTCCAACAGAACCTTTAGAACATTTAGATAGAATTTTAAACTTGTGGGTTCTTAGCTCAGTACTAGTGAGTCAAAAATTTATGGCAGCAATTAGATCGTAGGTGTGGGCAATGATATTCAATGCCACTAAATTTCTGGACTTACTACTAATATAGATAGGACATAGGTCAGTTCAAAATAGAGAATGAAACATCTTTAATTTTTCTTTTTCTGTGTTACAAATTACCAAGTTTTCTTTGACAGCAGGAATTTGAAACTCATTCATGCAAAGCAGGAGCTCCCAGAAAACATTCTACAAAGGAAGGCCATGAAATCCTTAGTATGAAATAGGGATTGTTTGTTGAGACTGTCCTCACCTAGAAAAACCAGGTTTTTGTGGTTCTCTAACATCACATTCCTGTACAATATTCGCTGAGGGGGGTCCAGGCATTCCCATTCCTCCGGAGAGAATTCTATAGTCACATCCTTGAATGTCAACAGTCCCTGAAAACAACAACACATATTTACCAAGTAATCATGGGCTAGAAAAAACAAGAATAAAGACAACAGGGTCCAGCTGATATAAAAACTAGAGTTATGCAATAAGATAATTTGTGGTCAGAGACAGAGTGGCTCATGACTATAATCCCAGCACTTTGGGAGTCCAAGATGAGAGGATTACCTGTGCACACAGGTTCAAGACCAGCCTGAGTAACTTAGTGAGACCTCATCTCTACAATAAATCAAAAAATTAACCAGGCGTCATGGTGCACGCCTATATTCTCAGCTTCTTGGAAGGTTGAGGTGGAAGGATTGTCTGAGCCCAACAGGTCAAGGCTGTGGTGGCTGTGAGCATGCCACTGCACTACAGCCTGGGCAGCAGAGTGAGACTCCAATTGAAAGAAGAAAAAAAAAAAGAACTTGTAACACAGAAACATTCTCTAATACATTAAGTCTGAGAAAAATGAATGAAATAAAACCCACTCGGCCAGTGTAGACACTCAACTTTGTGAATGATAGCGCACAAATTTGGTCACCAACACAGGCATGTACATTTTTGAGTGCTGTATTTGCTTCAAACAGAATAACCTGCATATACTGCTGAGATGGAAAACTAATAGTGAGTTGGAAGGTCCTCATCAAGTTTTAATCTGTACAACAATGAATTCAATACCTTGTTAAAATGCATATTCTGATTCAGAAGATATGGAGTTATCCTGAGATTCTGAGCTTTTTTTTCAGTCGGGGGCAGGAGTTCCCATTCTGTTATCCAAGCTAGGGTACAGTGACAAAATCACAGCTCATTGCTGCCTCAATCTCCTGGCCTAAAAGGATGCATCATTCATAGCCTCCCAAGTAGCAGGGACAAATTGGTATCAAGTGCCAAGGCAGACAGACAACACAACATCCATGCGGAGTTATTATTGGTCTAAAAAATAGTAAGTTATAATCTCAATCTAATAATGAAGAAACATGTTTTGGTTAGATATCTGACTACAGTTATCTAACATGGTTCGTAATCTCCAAAAGTATATTTATACTGTTTCTTTTTAGAATCCTAGAGAGCATGTTTATTCTAATTATTCTTTATTCAGACCTTCCTGAGTTGTTCTTGACAGTAACTGCCATCCTGCTTAAATGTGCATTTTTTTACCCATGTTCTGCACGGAGCTGATGGCGCATCTTGTGAAACCCTAATCGTCCATGTTCTCATCCTTCACTAGTGTCTGAGTAGCGACTCCATCTGCAATGGGAATCTCGGGCTTCCGTGCCTTCCCATGTTTCCCAGCCAAAAGAGAACATTTTTAATACTGCAGGTCATACATTCACAGTGTAAACAGTTCATGGTAACTAAGTAGGATGGATGCTGAGGACAGAGAGGGCTCTGGTATGTAAGGAGACATATCCTTTAGAGCCCTTGAATATCACAGGAAGAACAAAAATAGTTGAAACAAACTCATCAGGCAGGGTCATCACAAGTAGTAGAGGTTTGCAAGTTTTAAAAATGACATTCCTTCTGACCTGGGACACATTTACCTGAGAACTAGACATTTTTTTCCTTTTCCTCCTATTTCTCTGGGATTTCTTCTTATCTGGACAAATCACACCTACATGTTGAAAATATGTCTTTACTTATGTTAAAGTTATATGGAATGTACTTATTTTTTTGTCAGAGTCTCACTCTGCCACCAAGGCAGGATTGAAGTGGCACCATCATGGCTCATCACAACCTTGACCTCCTGTGTCCAGCTGATTCTTCCATTTCAGCCTTTCATGTAGCTGGGACCACAGGTGTACACTACCATTCCTGGCTAATGGTTTTGCTTTTTTATAGTGATAAGGTCTTAATATGTTGTTCAGGCAGGTTGGTCTGAAACAATGCAGGTTGGTCCTGGGCTAAAACAATTCTACTGCCTCAGCCTCCCTAAGTGATGGGATTACTGGCAAGAGCTTTGACTTGCAGCCAGCATATGCCTTTAACATAAGCACAGTCCTTTCCTTCCTACCACCACATCCACAGACAGCAGGGTCAGGAAGTGCATGTAAAGTCCATTTTTCTCTGTCTTTGTTACAGGAGACAGATTCAGGAACAACAAACTCCTACATGGAGAACAAAGTGTGAGTTTCTTCTTTTCTTCCCTCTAGTACCCTCCCTTGCCACAATCACTAGCAATTCCTACTACAGCAATGAAAATTGGGCTCCAGTGACCTAGTTGCCTGACCAAACCCAGCAGAACAGGCCATGTGCCCTCCCTTCTGAACTCAACTTTCACAAACATATCTGGCAGCCCTCATGCTTGACTCTGACTTCACATTAAAATCATGTGGGGGCAATTAATTAAAACAACATGAATGATTTCACAAAGACCAACAGACAGCGTGCAGAAAGGACAGAAGTGATGGTATTTTTTCAAACTCGCCACATGACCCTATTTAGAAGCCTGGGCTGATAACCACTTAGGAAGGACTTGCCTCTCATGTTTTAATTTCCACATGAATCTTTTAATATTTTGGCCTCATTCTAAGAAACCGGAAGTCTGCAGGTTTTAAGGGGTCCCTGAATGGACTTTTAAAACCGGTCTCCTAAAAATGCTGTTACTTCCCCTGGACCCACTGTTGGCAGTACTTGGCTAAAGAAAGCAGGCCTGGCATACCGGGTCCCTCATACCCAACATTCCTATCACAACACAAAGTTTTTTTCTTTTATCTACTCTTGGGCTTGGGGAAAGTGAGCACCAGTCCTGGGGAGATACCAGGAACAGCCACAAAACACTCTGATCTCCTCTGTTGTGAAGAGACATTTCAGGGTGAGGTAAGACCTGGGGGAAGCTCAGAAGGAGGTGGATCTGGGAAGGGATAGGGCAAGGAGTGAGCCCTGGGTAGGATTCTGATCTCTGTGACTCTGGGGTGTTTCCAGGTTTGAATTTTCTAAGCCTGCCCAAGAGACACTTGACTCTCAGTTTGTATAATTTTAATCTTTTTTTTTTTTTTTTTTTGAGTTGAAGTCTTACTCCATGGCCTAGACTGGAGTGCAGCGGCACGCTCCTGGCCACCGCAGCCTCGACCTGCTGGGCTCCGGCGATCCTTCAGCCTCTGCCTTCTAAGTAGCCAGAACTACAGGTACATGCTACCACGTCCGGTTAAAGCTTGATTTATTGTAGAGACAAAGTCTCGCCAAGTTGCCTGGGTGGGCCTCAAATCCACGGACTCAGGCAATCCACTCGCCTCAGCCTCCCAAAGTGCTGGAATTTCAAGCTGTGTCACCGAACCTGGCCCAATTTTAATCTTTTAAAGCCACTTACTTCCTTGTCTATCTTATGACATACGAAAACAAACAATTTCAATGAAACCCTCAGGCCTTTCTAGGACAATAATATTAAAATCTAAATAGTAAAGTTTTAGCCAGGTGCGGTGGCTCATGCAGGTGATCCCAGCACTTTGGGAGGCATAGGCAAGAAGACTACCTGAGTCCAGGGGTTCAGGGCCAGCCTGGGCAACTTGGTGAGACCTCATCACTATAATAAATAAAAAAGTTAGCCAAGCGTGATGGCACATGCCTATAGTTTCAAGTACTTGGAAGGCTGAGATGGAGGACCAACTGAGCCTAGCAAGTTGAGGCTGCAGTGGCCATGAGCATGTCCCTGAACTCCAGTCTGATTATGACAGAGTAAGTATCCAACTCTAAACAAAACAAAAAACCAAAATAGTTATTTTTAACAAGGTAAAACCAACATAAATAATAATAATGAAAACAGTAACACTTCTGTGAATGCTATTTAAGAGAGTGACAGCAAACCTCAGAACAACAACATAAAGTCAAATCCCTGGGACACCTCCCTTCTTAGTACTAACCACATGGTGCTGAATGCAACCATATTCCCATTCATGACAGATGGAAATTTCTGGAGTGTAGCGACCTTGACCACTTCATCTGCTTTTCTCCTGGCTGTGGGACATGGAGGAAACTCTGTTGTCTACGAGTTTGCTTCTCCAGATCTACTCATCCTTTTTTTTTTTTTTTTTGAGTTGGAGGCTCACTCTGTCGCCCAGACTGGAGTGCAGTGGCCGCTCCCGGCCACCGCAGCCTCGACCTGCTGGGCTCGGGCGATCCTTCCACCTCAGCTTTCCGGGTAGCCGGAATTACAGGCATGCGCTACCACGCCCGGCTGATTTTTTGATTTATTGTAGAGATGGGGTCTCGCTGCCCAGGCGGGTCTCGAACCCGTGGGCTCAGGCAATCCACTCACCTCAGCCTCCCAAAGGCACGGGATTATAGGCTGAGCCACTGAGCCTGGCTAGATCTACTCATTCTTTACTCAAGTACTAAGAAACAAGCAAATCCCATCTGGGTACATCCCCATTCATTTTTGGTCCATGGAGAGTTAAATTCTTATTACTTACACTCAACATTAAAAAATAGTTTACTCAAAATATTATGTTTGTTTCTTCAAATCACAACACTCAATCCACTCAGACTTTCAACTAAGAAAATAAACATATTATGCTCAAATCATGGTATAAAATTCTTAATACTTGTAGAAACTGGAACCATATGACAACAAGATTTCATTAAAAAACAGCAACCAAAAAAACCTCAAAAAAACCAAGGGAAGTGGCTCAGGGAAGCAGCCTCTTTCACCCACAGTCCATAAGGAACTGCATAATCAGCACCTTCATATTCCCAAGCTTGGGGACCACTGTTGCTGTGAAATGCAGCCTAGGAAGGCTTGTTCCCAGGTAGTGAGCGTGGGAAACCTGAGCCTTTTTTCTAACCCCAACTGTGCAAAGTGTGCTGGACACCAACCAGTCTGCAACACCAACTGTTTCTCCAACAATTCAACTGTCATCACACAGAGTTAGCACAAATCTCCAAGTTCAGGCCTCAGTCCCACAACATTGTCCTCACTGCAGATGCCAAGTACAAAACCCAGGGGCCCTACTTCCATCTGAGCAACTGCCTATAAATCAGGGGCTCCCAAAATCCTTCCTGCAGTCCAATAATTTGATAGAATACTCACTGAACTCAGCAAACCATTTCACTCATGTTGTCCAGTTTATTATAAAGGATACTACTCAGAAACAGCCAAGTGAGAGAGAAGTGTGAAGCAAGGGACAGTGGAAGGGGACTTGGGTGGGGAAGGATTCTGGCAAATAGCTGTGATAAAAGAGACCCCATTATTTATGTTCTACATGAGCAGCTTGCTGCAAAGAATCCCCCTTTCCATTAGGACTTAACTGATGTTCCCTTTTATTTTCTCTCTCAAGGCCGGTCACAGACACTGCAGTTTCCCATTTTCTGCCTTATAAACAAAGACATGAATACTTTTGCCTTCAGTGGCCTGAACAAAACTCATGGAAACCAAGCTTTGCTTAAGTTTCCCTCCATCTCCCAGACCCCTGAACTCTCACCCACCCTCAGCCTGAGCCAATACACACCCCTCTTGATGCCCCTCCTAAGAGCAGGCTGACTTCAGAGTGAGACGTTCTGTGATCCGGCATCTGCTGGTGCCACTCTCCAAGCCACCCTTCCCTTCCACCCTCTTTCTGAGCTTTTTTTCTCCCCCAAAAAGAAAGCCCATTTGTGCCTAAACTTTGAGATGCTGGAAGATCCTATAGCAGATGTTTTCATGCTACTGCAATATTTATTTATCATAAAGTTTTAACCCGAACTCAAATATATTTTATCTGACAACGTCTAGAAACAGCCCCAGCACAGTAACAATCCCACCTTCCGAAAGAGCATCACCTCCTTTATTTCCACCCAATCCGGCCCACATCTCCCTACAGACCCACAGCTTTCCAGGGCTCGACAGTTCACCATCACGGGCTCCTTCCATGACTGTTCTAAACAGACGGGTGCACCTGCAGGGGAGCTCACCTGGAAGAACAAGCTGGGCCTCCAAGACTTCCTTTTGCAGGATCAGGACTGACTTCGGCTTGGAATCTTTGGGCCCAGGTAAGATTTACTCCGTTTCTTTCTTAAAATTTTTTTTTTTTTTTTGAGAAAGCGGGATTTATTGAGAGGACAGAAAAGCTCCCACAGTGGGACGGGATCCAAAGGGGTTGCCTACTCACTTAGTTTCAAATGAGAAAACACCCAGTGTAAAAATTACTCAGACTCAGTGCTCAGGTGTAGGAAGGGCAGGAAATTATAAAGCACTTCCATTACACACCTCATCAGAAAAAAAGCAAAGGTGTGCCTTTCTTTCAGACGATAAACCTGTCACTATGTCTTCCCGGATGACAAATCATTCGGTAAACAACCAATCACAGGAGAACACCCCTGGCAGTCAGCACGTTTTTTCCTCATAAAATTTAGCATTAAACTCGAATACCCACATCACAGAACACAGAACGGACACCCCGTGTCCAAATTTCTTCGCTATTCCAAAAAAAAAAAAAAAAAAAGTCACGGATGTCTTCATAGATCTGTGAAATCCGCCAACTATTCTACCACACATCCTCGTGGAGATGTATTGATCACCACAGCCACAACGAGAAATTGTCCCCAACGCTGTGACGGAGATTCCGGGTAACCTCGGGGAGGAGAGAGGGGCGGGGCCAGGACCGCAGCCCCTCCCCCGAAGAGCCCCGCAGGCGGGTCGCAGTCTCCCCGCGACACTTGCGGGTCCCGGATGCCTGGAGAACGGGACTGTGAGGAGAGGGCTCAGCGGGTGAGGTTGCCGTGGAGACCAGACCCCACGCGGAGGGGGCCGGGCCGAGTCGCCGGCAGGGACGGGAGGGACAGGTCGGGGCTCGGAGCTGACGGGGAGGTCGGTTCGGCCACAGCTGGATCATCCGGGTCCATCGTTCCGCCCTTTCTCGCATCCGCCTCCATACTCACCATGTCCCGGCTTCCGGGTGTCATGGTGTCCTCCCCACGGACTCCCAGGACCTGCGGGTCACAGGGCGACAGAGGTTGACGTGAAGATACGGGGCTGACGGAGAGCAGGACAGAGCAGCAAGTACGACCAGCTCCGGGTGCAGGCAGGGGAGAGGAAGACCCGGTCAGAACCCGGAAGCCGCCCGCTCACTTTCGGCTCTCGTCTGATTGGGCGATTCAGAACTAAGCGTCCGTTGATTGGATAAGACTCCACGCCCCACCCCTCGGACTTTGACTGACAGGCGATGCAAAGCGACGCGGCCAGCAGAGGTCAAAAGGTTTAGATTTCTTCTTGTCCCGGAGTCCGGGGGCTGGGGGAGCTGGAGCAGGGTGTGGGCTCCTCTCGGAACATGATGGGAGTCTTCATCGCTCCTGGTCGGTGGGTCGCTGGACTGTAGGACGACCACACCTCCTTCCACCGACCGGAGCCATGTAAGCGCCAACGTTCCTAGCACGGCTTGCGAAGGGCACACAGCCCCACACCGCCTCTATCCACCTCCTAGTGCTGGAAGAAAGCTGTCGCTTCTTGCGTTATATAGCCCCTGTCTCATCACCTTTCCTGTCACTCAAAAGCAGAGGGGCGGACCCTGGAGCCCCAGCCAATCAGTGAACGCTGAGGTCTGACCTACCCAATCAGACGGGAGCTGGAAGTAAGGGGGCGGCTTCCGCGTTCTGACCGGGACTTCGTCTCCTGCGCTTGCCCACAGAGCCGGCTCGTTCCCTACGGCGCTGTCCTGCCCTCCGGGACCGCACCCCTTTGTCTTTGCTTCAGTCTCTGTCACCCTGTGACCTGCAGGTCCTGGGAGGACCCCGGGACACCCGGAAGCCGGGAAATGGTGAGTACGGGGGCGGGTTCGAGAAGGGGAGGAGGATGGATCCGGATGATCCGGCTACGGGGATCGGCCTCCCCGGCAGCTCCGAGCCCGGACCTGTCCCCGCCGGCGACTCGACTAGGCCGGGTCCCGGGGTCTGGTCCCCGCGGCGACCGCACCTGCTGAGCCCAGTCCACACAGCCCCGTTCTCCAGGCGTTCGGGACCCGGAAGTGTCGTGGGAAGGCTGCGACCCGCCTGCGGGGCTCGTTGGGGAGGGGCTGCGGCCCTGGGCCCCGTCCCTCTCTCCTCCCCAAGGTTACACGGAGGCTCCGTCACAGCGTTAGGGACAGTTTCTCTCTCGCTATGGCTGTGGTAGTCGATACATTTCCACAAGAACGTGTGGCAGAATAATCGGTGGATTTCACAGATCTATGAAAACATCCGTGACTTTTTTTTTTTTTTTTTTTTTTTGAAAGAGTGAAGACATTTGGACACGGGGTGTCTGTTCTGTGTTCTGTGATGTGGGTATTCGAGTTTAATGCTAAATTTTATGAGAGACAACGTGGCAACTACTAAAAGTGTTCGCATATGACCAGTTTACAGAATGATTTGTCATCAGGAAAGACGTATTGACGGGTTTATTGTCTGAAAGAAATACACACCTTTGCTTTTTTCCTGATGAGATATATGATGGAAGTTGCCTTACAATGTCCTGCCCTTCGTATACATAAGCACTGAGTGAGTGATTTTTTTTCCAGTGGGTGTTTTCTCATTTGAAACTGAGTAAACCTTAACCAGGACCCAAAGATCCCAAGCCACGGTCAGTCCTGATCCTGCAAAAGGAGGTCTTGGCGGCCCAGCCTGTTCTTCCATGTGAGCCTCCCCTGCAGGTATCTGTTTATAGCAGTTATAGAAGGAGCGTGTGGTAGTGAGAAAAGCTGCCGAACTCTGGAAGTTGTGGGCAGGATGACACCCAGAAATAAAGGTGCGATGCTCTTTCAGAAGGTGTAATTTTTACTGTCCGGGGGCTGTTTCTAGACATTGTCACATAAAGTAAATTTGAGTTTGGATTGAAATAACTTTCGGATAAACAAGTAATGTAAGAGATGGAAACACCTGCTGTAGGGTCTTCCAGCATCTCAAAGTTGAGGCATAAATGGGCTTTCTTTCATGGGGAGGAAGAAAGCTCAGAAAGAGGGTGGAAGGGGAAGGGCAGGATGGAGAGTGGTAACAGCAGATCTCAGGTCACGGAATGTTCCATTCTGAAGTCGGCCTTCTCTTAGGCATGAAGAGGGGTGTATCTTGGCTCGGGCTGAGGGTGGGTTAGAGTTCAGGGGTCTGGGAGAAGGGGAACTTAAGCAAGGCTTGGTTTGCATGAGTTTTGTTCAGTCCACTGAAGACAAAAGTATTCCTGTCTTTGTTTATGAGGCAAAAAGTGGGAAATGGCAGTGTCTGTGACTGGCTTTGAGATAGGAAAAAAAAGGGGGCATCACTTAAGTTCTAATGGAAAGGTGGATTCTCTGCAGCCAGCAGCTCTTGTAGAACATGAATGATGTGGTGTCTTCTATCACACTACTTACAGAATTCCCTCCACCCATGTCTCCTGCCACTGTCCCTAAGCTTATATCTCTCTTTAACTTGGCTGTTTCTGATTTTTATCCTTTATAATAAACTGGGCAACATAAGTGAAATGTTTTGCTGAGTTCTGTGAGTATTCCACCAAATTATTGGACTGGAGTAAGGGTTCGGGGAGCCCCTGATTTATAAGGCAATTGCTCAGAAGTAAAGAGGGTCCCTGGGTTTTGTAACTGGCATCAGCAGAGTGGGCAATGTTGCGGGACTGAGTCCTGAACTCGGGGGTTTGTGCTAACTCTGGGTGGTAACAGAATTGAATTGTTGGACAAACAATTGGTATTGGAAATTGGTTGGTGTTCAGCAAACTCTACACATTTGGGGTCGGAAAAAAGACATCACAGGTCTAATCTTTAAACTACTTCAGTTGAGTGTTTGTCCCCCACTGAGAATTGAGACCCTGGAGGATGGAGGAATACCACGTTGTGAGGAGGAGAGAGGACAGTGTGTGGATGTCTCAGGATTAACTTCCCAGATGCTAAGGTTTCCCTCAGTCACTGCCTGGGAGTGAGCCCTCCTGGACACCATTTCATAACCACAGTGGTCCCCAAGCTTGGGAACATTATGAACTCACTTTTTATGCAGCTCCCTGTGTACTGTGGGTGAAACAAGCTGCTTCCCTGAGCCACTTTTCTTTTCTTTATAAAATGTTACTGCCACATGGTTCCAGTTTGTACAAGTATATAAGAATTTTAAGCCGGGCTCAGTGACTCAGCCTGTAATCCCGCGCCTTTGGGAGGCTGAGGTGAGTGGATTGCCTGAGTTTGCGGGTTCGAGACCCGCCTGGGCAGCGAGACCTCATCTCTACAATAAATCAAAAAATCAGCTGGGCGTGGTAGTGCATGCCTGTAGTTCCGGCTACTTGGAAGGCTAAGGCGGAATGATCGCCGGAGCCCAGCAGGTCGAGGCTGCGGGGGCTGGGAGCGGCCACTGTACTCCAGTCTGGGTGACAGAGTGAGACTCCAACTCAAAAAAAAAAAAAAAAAAAGAATTTTATACCGTGATTTGAGTATAATATGTTCTTTTTCTCAGTTGAAAGACTTAGTGGATTGAGTGATTTGATCTGAAGAAGCAAAGATAATGCCTTTTTTTTGAGTTGGAGTCTCATTCTGTCACCCAGACTGGAGTGCAGTGGCCCACTCACGGCCACCACAGTCTTGACCTGCTGGGCTCAGGTGATTCTTCCTCCTCAGCCTTCCAAGTAGCTGGAATTATAGGTGCACGCTACCACGCCCAGCCTTTGTTTTTTAGAGAAGAGGTCTCACTAAGTTGCCCTCGAACTCCTGAGCTCAGGCAACCCTCTTGCTTCAGCCTCCCAAAGTACTGGGATTATTATAGGCTTGAGTCACTGCATCTGGTCTGACAATACTTTCTTTTTTTTTTTTTTGAGTTGGAGTCTCACTCTGTTGTCCAGGCTAGTGGGCAGTGGCACACTCCTGGCCACTCACAGCTGCCAGTGTCGACCTGCTGGGCTGTGGCGATCCCTCCAACTCAGCCTTTCAAGTAGCCAGTACTACAGGTGCGTGCTACCACACCCGGCTAATTTTTGATTTATTGAAGAGACGAGGTCTTGCCAAGTTGCCTGGGCTGGTCTCGTACCTGTGGACTCAGGCAGTCTACTCGCCTTGGCCTCCCAAAGTCCTGGAATTACAGACTGAGCCACCAAGCCCAACCTGATAATACTTTGAGTAAATTATTTTTTAATGCTCAGTTATGTAAAAAGACGTAACCCTCCATGGACTGGGGTTATACCCAGAGGGGATGGGCTCCAATTCCTTGGTACTTGGGTAAAGAATGAGGAGTAGCTCTGGAGAAACACACCGGTAGATAACAGAGTTACCGCCACATCACAAAGCCACTAGAAAAACAGATGAAGTGGTCAACGTCTCTACACTCCAGAAATGTCCATCTGTTGTAAATTGGTAAGTGGTTGAATCAGCACCATGTGGTCAGTACAAAGAAGGGAGGTGTGCAGGGGACGTGGCTTTATGTTGTGAGTTCTGATGTCACTGCTTAAAAGAGCATTCACAGACAGAAGTGTTGCTGTTTTCATTATTATTATTTCTGTTGGTTTTTCCTTATTAAAAATAACTTTTTTTTTTTTGGTCTGTTTTGAGTAGGAGTCTTATTCTGTCTTGCCCAGGCTGGAGTGCAGTGGAACACTCATGGCCATCAAAGCCTCGACCTCCTGGCCACAGGCAATCTTTCCACCTCAGCCTTCCAAGCAACTACATTCCAAGCAACTGGAACTACATTCATGTGCCACCATGCCCAGCTAGTTTTTTTATTTACTACAGAAACGAGATCTTGTGAAGTTGCCCAGGGTCGTCTCAAACCCTTGGTCTCAGGCAGTCATCTCACCTCAGCTTCCCAAAGTGCTGGCATTCCAGGTCTGAAGCACTGGACCCAGCTTGCCACCACGAGACTCTAACATGGAGTCATTGTCAAGCTGAGAGTACAAGATATGTTTGTGAAAGTTGAGTTCAGAAGGGAGGTCACCTGGCCTGCTCTACTTGGGTTTGGTCAGGCAGATAGGTCAGTGGGGCCACATTTTCATTGCTATAGCAGAAATTTCCAGTGTTTGTGACAAGGGAGCAGAAATTTCCAGTGTTCCTTCCCTTGAGGGAAGGAAAGAAACTCACACTTTGGACTGCATGTAGGAGCTCATTGCTTTTGAATTTGTCTCCTGTGACAAAAGACTGAGAAAGGTGGACTTTTTCTCCCCTTTTCAGCCCTCCCATCTGTGCACGTGGTGGTAGCAAGGGAAGGATTGTGCTTATGTTACAGGCTGCATATTACAGTTCATGCCAGTAATCCCATCACGTGGGGGAGACTGAGGTGAGAGGATTGCTTGAGCCCAGGAGTTTGAGACCAACCTCTATAACATAGCATACTCATGTCACTACACAAATAATTTTTTTAAAAAATTAGCCAGGAGTAGTAGCAAAGGCCTATAGTTCCAGCTACTTGGGAGACTGAGATGGGAAGACTGCCTGAGCCCAGGAGGTCGAGGCTGTGGCAAGTAATGATGGTGCCGCTTCTTTCCTGTCTGGGTGGCAGAGTGAGACTCTGACAAAAAATAAATAGATGCAATTTAATTTTAAAATAAATAAAGGCATATTTTCAACATACGGGTGTGACTTGTCCAGATAATCTCGCCTAAGAATAAATCCCAGCGAAGTAGGAGGAAAAGGGAAAAAAATGGTTGACTTTCAGGTAAACGTGTCCCAGGTCAGAAGAAACGTCATTTTTAAAACTTGCAAACCTTACTGCCATCCTTGTGATGGTCCTGCCTAATGAATTTGTTTCAACTATTTTTGTTCTTCCTGCGATGTTCAAGGACTCTGAAGGACACGTCTCCCTACATACTAGAGCCTTCTCTGTTCTCCGCATCCATGTTGCTTAGTTGCCATGAACTGTTCTCACTGTGAAAATATAACCTGCGGTATTAAATATGTTCCCTTGTGGCTGGGGAACATGGGAAGGCACAGATAGCCAAGATTCCCATTGCAGATGGGGTAAATCCTCAGATGCTAGTGAAGTATTGGGACATGCACAATTTAAGTTTCACAGGAGGGCAACCCCCTTGGGTTCCCTCCCACTGTGGTAACTTTTCTGTCCTTTCAATAAATCCTGCTTTTAAAAAAAAAGAAAAATTTCTTGTGATGCTCCATGAGCTCCATGCAGAACATGGTTAATAAACTGCACATTTAAACAGGTTGGCAATTGCTGCCCAGAACAACTCAGGAAGGTGTGAGTAAAGAATAATTAGAAGAGACTAAATCTAGGATGCTAGGATTAGAAGAGACTAAATCTCGGATGCTAAAACCAAACAATATAGGTTACACACCATGGGAGATACCTGTAGCTGGAAATCTGCCTAAAACATCTTTCTTTATTATTAGATTGCCGTTATAATTTACTATTTTTTTGGCCAATAATATCTCAGCATAGATGTTGTGTTGCACCTCTGTGCCTTGGCACTTAATAGCAATCTGTCCCAGCTACTTGGGAGGCTATGGAGTTTGCATCATTTCAAGCCAGGAGATCGAGGCTGCCATGAGCTGTGATTATGCCACTGTACCCTAGCATGGGTAACAGAATGAGACCTCTCAACTGATAAAGTACAGAACCTCAGGCTAACCCCATATCTCCTGAATCAGAATTTGCATTTTAGCAAGGTATTAAATTCATTGTTGTGCACATTAAAACTTGACGAAGACCTTCCAACTCACTAAGAGTTTTCTGTTTGAGCAGTATATGCAACTTATTCTGTGTGATGTAAGTATAACAGTACTCAAAAATGTACATGCCTGTGTTGGTGTCCAAATTTATGCTCTATCATTCACAAAAGTAGAATGCCTACACTGGCTGAGTGGATTTTATTTCATCCTGTTTTCTCAGACTTACTGCGTTAGAGAATATTTCTGTGTTTCAAATTATCTTATTGCATAATTCTGGCTGTTATGTCAGCTGGATCCTGTTGTCTTCACTCTCTTGAGTCCATGACCACTTGTTAAATACATGTTAATTGTTGTTTTCAGGAGCTGTTGACATTCAAGGATGTGGCCATAGAATTCTCTCCAGCAGAGTGGGAATGCCTGGACCCCCCTCAGCGAATACTGTACAGGAATGTGATGTTAGAGAACCACAAACACCTGGTTTTTCTGGGTGAGTACACTCAACACACAATTCCTACTTCATACTAAGGATTTCCTGGCTTTCCTTTGTAGAATGTTTTCTGGGAGCTTCTACTTGGCATGAATGAGTTTCAGATTCCTGCTGTGAAAGAAAACTTGCTGGTTAGTTAACATAGAAAAGGAAAAATTAAAGATATTTCATTTTCACAACCATTCTCTATTTTGAACTGATCTGTATCCTTTCTGCATTAGTGGTAAGACCAGAAATTTAGTGGCATAGAGTATCACTGTGCAGGTCTACAATCCAATTGCTGCCATAAATTTTTGACTCACTAGTACTGAGCTAAGAACACACAAATTTAAAATTCTGTCTAAATGTTCCAAAAGTTCTGTTGAAAAACAGTATTTTGGTATTAATTTTCTAGAATCTTGTATAATGTGTACTTTACTGAGCACAGTACTAGGTTTGTAATTGAAGAATCCCAGCAAGAGTCATGTTACTTTTTTCTAATAAAACAGGCCTTGCTGTCTCTAAGCCGGACCTGATTATTAGACTGGAGGAAAAGAAGGAGCCCTGGAATGTGAAGAGACACAGCGTGTTAGCCAAACCCACAGGTAGGTCATCGTGAATGAAACATGACACAGGTCAGGGAGGAAGCAGAGCTTGAAATTTGGTTTGGGAAGGTGGTCTGTTCCAATGGAAATGGTTTCTGAGAAACCTAGGATTCTTTCTTTTGTTGTCACAAAGTGACATATGTTCTATGCTCTGAAATTCTCCAAAAATCTGCTTCTCCTTCAGAGATCTCCTTTTAAGATTATAGTGAAAATCAAAGTTCCCTTAATGGTTTCTAAGGAACTGCATAATCTGACTGCATTTCTGTTGCTTTTGGGAATGTCCTAATATCTGCTTATTTATTTAGAAAATCCATGTTAAACTATTTTTTTAAGGTTTCTTTTTGCATCATATTGGAAATATGTGAGAGTAGTGGTGATTTTGTTGCTTGATTCAGAAATTTTAAGAACTCTCCAAATGTTTTGTGTTTTCTGCTTTATGATTTTCTATCCTAGGGAGGTTTCAATGTGATTTTATAGAAATTGATACTCCATAACTCTACCAGAACACAAACTATCTCTCTAGATAGAAGAAACCCTCATGTTATTTTACTTGAATTGTTCTTTCCTAGTATGTACTGAGGTTGGTAATTTAACCTATATATTCAAATTTCTTAAGTATGCTATATTGTGTAGAGCATTAGTAAACATATATTAAACTCTAACATGTTACCTTGTTTCTTAATAACTCATAATTTTATTTTGTTTAGTATGAAGCTAGGATTGGGTTACATGTATGCACATAAAAACATACATACACACATACACGTGTTCATTTATGTGTGTTTAACATCTGGTTTTTTATACATAAACAAAAATTGTGTAGCCATATATTTATTGTATATAATGTAGTAATTTGACATGCATATACATTGTAAAATGATTACTACAATTAAGTTAATGAGCATATCAATCACCTTACATAGTTGCCATTTTTATTTTTTATTTTTTTTATTTTTTTATTTTTTTGAGTTGGAGTCTCACTCTGTCACCCAGACTGGAGTGTAGTGGCCGTTCCTGGCCACCGCAGCCTCGACCTGTTGGGTTCCACCGATCCTTCTGCCTCAGCCTTCCAAGTAGCTGGAACTACAGGCACGCGCTACCGCGCCCAGCTAATTTTTTGAATTATTGTAGAGATGAGGTCTCACCAAGTTTCCCAGGCGGGTCTCGAACCCGCGGGCTCAGGCAATCCACTCATCTCAGCCTCCCAAAGCATGGGATTACAGGCTGAGCCACCGAGCCCAGCTATCAAATTTTTTAAGCATATAAGATATTATTAACCACAAGTCGCTATGATATACTTTAGATCCCTAATACTCAGTTATAATTGCAGTTTTGTAAACCACTGAAAACATCTCCCGTTTCCCCTACCAGCCCCTGGTGACCACCATTGTACTCTCTGGCTCTGTGAGTGCAGTCTTTTTTGATTCCACACATAAGTGAAATCACATAGTATTTTTGTGTGTATGCCTGGTTCACTTAGAATATTTTACAAGCCGGGCTCGGTGGCTCAGCCTGTAATCCCGCGCCTTTGGGAGGCTGAGGTGGGTTCGAGACCCGCCTGGGCAGCGAGACCTCATCTCTACAATAAATCAAAAAATCAGCCAGGCGTGGTAGCGCGTACCTGTAATTCCGGCTACTCGGAAGGCTGAGGCGGAAGGATGCGGTGGCCGGAAGCGGCCACTGCACTCCAGTCTGGGCGACCGAGGGAGACTCCAACTCAAAAAAAAAAAAAAAAAAAGAATATCTTACAATTTACAATTTCATCCATGAGTGGCAATTGCAGAATTTTTTTTTTATGGCTGAATAATATGCTATTGTGTATATACACATTATTTTCTGAATCAACACAGAATCCACAAATATTAGGTTGTTTTCATAGATTGACCATTTTGAAAAATGCTGCAATGAATATAAGGGTGCAGGTACTTTTTAGAGTTGCTGATTTTGTTTCCTTTGGTTCTATACCCAGTAAAGGGATTTCTGTGTTGTGTGATAGTTTATTTTTTTATTTTTAAAGAATGTTCATAATGGTTTTCACAATGATTAGCCATTTTAAACTCACCAACAGTATACAGGATTTCTTTTTCTTCACATCTTTGTCAACACTTCTCTCTCTTCTGGTTGATATTAGTCATCCTAACAGGTGTGAGATAATACCTCGTCTTTGTGTTTACTTGAAATTGCCTCTGTTGGTGATGCTGAGTGCCATTTCTTATTCCGGTTGGTGATTTGTATGTCCTCACTGGAAAAGTATTCATTCTTGGACTATTTTTTAGTCAAGTGATTATCATTTTCTTGTTATTGCCTTTGATTTGCATAATTTTCTTGTAAATTTTGAATATTAATCTCTCATCAGATACATGGTTTGCAAATATTTTCTCTGATCCTGTAAGCCTTCTTCCTGTTTTCTTTACTGTACAGAAGATTTTTAGTTTGATGCAGTCCAACTTGTTGATATTTGCTTTTGTTCCTCTAGTCACATAAAAGAAAAAAAATTACTAAAACCAATATCAATATCAAGGAGGTTTTCAAAATCCTTTTTTGTGTATGTGGTTTTGTTTTGTTTTGTTTTGTTTTTGTCATGGTCTCTTTCTGTCACTCAGGCTGGAGTGTGGTGGCAAAATTCAGGTTCATTACAGCCTTGAGCTCCTTGCTCAGGTGATCGTTCCAACTCAGCCTCCTGAGTACTGGGATTACAGATTGGTGCCTTCATGCCTGGCTCCTTTTTGTGGGCGGGCGGTGCACAGTCTTGACATACTGTATTGCCTAGACAGGTCTTAAACTGCTGAACTTAGGTGTTGGGATTACAGACATGAACAACCACATCCAGCTGATACTGTTTTATTTACGTTAGCATAATGTCCACAAGATTTGTCTTTACTGTAACACATGACAAGATTTCTTTTTGAAAGGGTGTCAGCCACATTTTCTCTATCCATTCATTGAAGGACATTTAGGTTGTTTCTTCCTTTTAGCTTTTGTAAATAATGCTGCCATAAACATGGATGGTCACATATCTTTTGCAGATTCTGCTTTGCATCTTTGTATAGATACCCAGGGTGAAATTACTGGTCATAGTATAATTTCATTTTTAATTTCTTAAGGCATTTTCTTATTACTTTTAGTTGTGGCTGTATCATTTTTTCCCCCAGCAACACTGCACAAGCATTCCAGGTTCCCCATACCCTCAATAACATTTGTTATTTTGTTTGTTTGATAGTGACCGTCCTTATGGGTGTGAGGTTGTATATTATTGTGCTTTGTCTTTGCATTTCTCTGTGCATTTGTCTCTTTGAAAATCTTTTGAAATGCTTGTTGGTCATTTGTATATCTTCAGAGAAATGTCTGTTCATTTCTGTGCCCATGTTTTAGTCATGTTATTCAATTTTTGTGGCTGAGTTTTAGGAGTTATTTATATGTTTTGAATTTTACCTCCTATTAAATGTATAAATTGCAAGTATATCTTTTCATTCCTTAGGAGACATTTTTACTACACTGAATGTTTACTATTGTGAAATATTTTTTTTTTAACTTTGAGTGGTTAGTCTCGTATTTTTCATCGTTGCTTATGATTTTAGTGTCATCTAATGAAGCATTGTCATGGCCAGTGTCTTGACATCCATCCTATATTTGGTTCTAATAACTTGAAAGTTTTTACACTTAAACATTTAAGCATTTTGGATAGTTTTTTGTATATGATTCAAGAGTCCATCTTTATTTTGTGTGTGTGTGTGTGGATAGCCAGTTTTCTAACACCATTTGTTGAAGAAACTTTGCTTCCCCATTGTGTGGCCATGCCACCCTTGTTAAAGATCATTTATTGTATTCGTAAGGATTTATGTTGAGGCTTTCTATTTTGTTCCATGATCTGTTTTTTTGAGTGCCAGTGCCACCTTGTTAGTCATGTGTATTAAAATCAGGAAGTGTGATACCTTATCCTTTTTGCTAATGCTGTTTTGGATATTATAGTCCCTTGAGATTCTATATAAATTTAGGATTTAAAAATACTTTTTCAAAGAAAAATATCAGTGAAATTTTCATAGACATTGCATTGAATTTGTGTATCACTGTGGGTAGAGTTTTTTGTTTTTTGAGTCGGAATCTCACTCTGTCACCCAGGCTGGAGGGTGGTGGCACATTTCCGGCCACTGCAGCCTTGGCCAGCTGGGTTCAGGCAAGGCTTCCGTCTCAGCCATCCAAGTAGCTGAAACTACAGGGACATGGCACCATTCCCAGCTAATTTTTTATTATATTTTATTGTAGAGATGAGATCTCGCCAAGTTGTCTGAACTGGTCTCAAACCTGCGGGCTTAGGCAGTCCCCTCACCTCGGCCTCCCAAAGTGCTGGGATTATAGGTGTGAGCCACCACAACCTGCCAGTCATTTTTTTTTTTTTTTTTTTTTTTGAGTTGGAGTCTCACTCTGTCACCCAGGCTAGAGTGCAGTGGCACACTTATGGCCACCACAGCATCAACCTGCTGGGCTCAGGTGATCCTTCCACCTTAGTCTTTCAAGTAGCCAGAACTACTGGGGCATGCTACCACACCCAGCTAATTTTTTTTTAATTTGTTGTAGAGACGAGGTCTTGAACATTTGAGCAAAGGCAATCCACTTGCCTTGGCCTCCCAAAGTGCTGGGATTACAAGCTGAGCCACCGAGCCTGGCCAGAAATCTTAATGATATTAAAATTCTGACTTTTTTTGAATTGGGATCTCACCATGTCTTCCACACTGGAATACAGTGAAATTATCATGGCTCAAGACACCCTCAACCGTCTGGGATCAGACAAGTCATTCCATTCAGCCTATTTTTTATTTTTTTGTGGATCGAGGACTTGCTCTGTTGCCTAGGCTGGTCTCAAACTCCCGGCTCAAGTGACTCACCTCCCTCAACTTCCCAAGGTGCTGAAATTACAGACATGAGCCAGCACACCCAGTCTAAATCTCCTAGCTCTTGAACAAGAATATAAGAGTGTGTTGCATAACTTGTATGTATTTTTT